GCTGCTTCTACACTAGCATAACTCAATCTCACGCACTTGCTACACCTTCGTCTGCGGTTACCATTCCACCTCCCCGTCGTTATCTCACCAAACACCAGGTGTAATGGACTAACTTCTGTTGGCAGACACACTCGCCCAATACACTGATAAGTTGTTGTTGTGCTCAAAACAAATGCTACGCAGTAAAATGTTGGCAAAGCGTAGGAATAGAAGAGAAAAGAGGAAAAGGAGACGAAAAAAGGTGACCTCTATGCAGATGGTATTTTAGAGTTGAGATATTTTGCTACAGAACATGAAATAATTGCAGTTGAAATAAAATTATTTGTAGGAATGGTGAGAGAGAGCGTAAGTTGCACGGTAGTTTCACGAACACACATGTTTTGTTTTACTCGGCTTCGTTGAGGAGGCAGCAGTGAAAAACGAGCCGTGAGCTGGTTAGTGCATGTGAATGCGTAATTGGAGTGAGGGTGGAGGATTGAAGTGATTGGTGAATTGGCACAAGTGGAGTACATGTGACTCGGCAGAAGAATGGACTCGAAGACGAGGCCACGGTGCTGTTCCAACGTGCGTAGGCGTGACGCCAATTGGTGAAGGAGCACCACTCGAAGTGAAGTTGACTTCATGGTGGATGGATGGTCTTGTGTAAGGAAGGCGATGTGAGCGGTGCGAATCGGAATGGAGGCAGAGAGGAGGAGGGAGGTGGGTGAAGTTGAACTTGTGGCATCGTTGGTAAAGTGAAGCTAAGATTGGCTCAAATGAAGATGAAATCGTGTGTAGTGCATGCGAAGTGGGAGGCTGGATGTGAGTTACGCGTACATCTGTGAAGGTGAGGGAGGATGTGGCGTGGCAGGTGACTTCACGAAAGACGTTGCGCAACGCAGGTGGCTACATTAACTAAGGTGGTGGGAAGGAAGGATAAGGTGAGAGAGGTGGGGTGGGGATCGTAGAATGCGAGCATAGAAGTGACCTGTGGAGGCAAGGTTGGAGGTGGGATGTGAGGAGGGCCAGAAGTAAGGCGGTACAGCATGAATGAGTAGAGTGGAGGTGAAGAGGTCATCGAGAATGGTGTTTGGGTATGCGAAGGGGGAGCAGCGATGGCTCGAGTGGAATTGGTGAAGAGGCAGCACGTCATCTCCACCATAGTAAAGTGGGATGTGAGACAGGAGAGGTGGTTCAAGTGCAGATATTGGCAATCCTTTGACAAGTTAAAGCCTTTCTCCTACCAGTTGTGGGGAGCGGAAGCGTCAAACCCACGCATTCTCTCTGCTGCCAGACTAGTCACTACTGATGGTAGCACTTCCACAGGTCAATCAACTTTCGTGCAAGTCATCCAAAGCACAAACGCCAAATCGATAGTCTCACGCCTTCACTCCACCATGTCATGCCATGCCATGCCATGCCATGCCATGCCTCTCCCCATCTCTCCCACCCCTTACTCACGCTGGGGCGATCTCAAC